AGGTGTGACCATGTGGGGGGAAGGGGGGAGCTCTTGTACTGGGGACGTGGTTGGCCTGAGCCTCACCCCAGAAGCGGAGTCCAGGGCATGCTCTATTTCTTTCAGTTCGGTTTTTATAAAAAGCAAACTCCTAAATTAATACACTCTGAGTCACTTGAGACGTTTCTCTCGGAACTAAATGGGAATGCTAACGTCGTCTTCGGAAGGCGTTTTTAGCACCGTGGTGTGGAGGCGGGGTTTGCACCATGAAGCCCTCGCACCGGTCTTTCAGTGCAACCCTCACCCCATCTGATTTTAGAACAATCCCACCTCCTCACAGCTCTGCAGACTGACAGCCCGCACTTCCTCTTCCCACTCCACCAGCCTGCTTCCTGTCTGTAAATCTTCCTTTTCTGGACATTTCGTGTAGACAGCAGTCTACAACTGACAGTGCTGGGTGTCTGGCTGTACCCACGGGGTGCGGAGTGGGGTGGGTAGTTACTTCCTGTGACAAGGTCTGCTTTCACGGACAAGTCTTGTTTCCCCGGTCTGTCCACCGATGGGCAAGGGTGTGGGCAGAGGGGTGTTTCTTAATTCTGGCTGCTGTGAACATTTATGTTCAGGCCTTCTGGGAAGAGGGGGCTTCTCCCTGCTCAGGGACAGGCCTGCAACTGCGGGTACCCTGTTAAACCTTGGGGAAGTGGCTACATGCACTTAGCCTCCCAACCATTGGTACAGTGGCTACCAAGGGTGTAGTTTCCCTGTCCTGTCTGCACTGGTTACTGTATTTCTTTGGCCTGTAGCCGTCCTACTCTGGGTAAAGTGATGTGGTTTCAGTTTGGGAATTTTTTTTTGTTGTTTGGGTCCGGTCGTGGGGCCTGAACTCTGGGCCTGGGCGCTGTCCCTCAGCTCTTCAGCTCGAGGCTAGCACTCTACCACTGAGCCACCTTCCCAGCCTCCAATTTGGGAATTTCTATTAGCAAACAATAGCAAGCATCTTTTCCTGAGATTAAGGTTGCTTATATCTCCTCTTTTGAAACATCTCATCAAATGTTTTACCTTTCCTAGAGTTTGAACACAAGGCAGGTGCTCTACCACTTGAGCTAGGTCTCCAGACCATTTTCAGCCTTATTTTTCAGGTAGGGTCTCTTGCTTTCTACCTAGGGCCAGCTTCAGACTACAGTCCTCTTACTGACACTGTGGGCCCACACCAGCATGCTCACATCATTGGATGGGGTCCTGCTCACATTTTGCAAGGGCTGGTCTTTTTAAAAAAAATGTATTCATGGGGGCTGGGAAGGTGGTTCAGTGGTAGAGCGCTTGCTTTGCATGCCTGAGACCCTGGGTTCAATTCCTCAGCACCACATAAGCAGAAAAAGCCAGAAGTGGCGCTGTGGCTCAAGTGGTAGAGCACTAGCCTTGAGCTAAAGGGCCCAGAGTTCAAGCCCCACGACCGACAAAAAAATTAAATTAAAAAAAAGAAAAGAGTGTTGCACTTTCTTGCCAGGTTAGCTTTGAACCGTGATCCTCAGATCTCAACCTCCTGAGTGGCTAGGATTGCAGGCGTGAGCCACCGGTGCCAGGCGTGAGTTGGGGTTTTGTTGGTTTTCTGGTCCTGGAGTTTTTGGTCTTCAGTTGTCTTTCTCTCACATCCTCCCTCCATTTGGTCTCAGATGTGTCACAAATGCAGGAGTGTTTGGTTTACGGTTGCAGGAAAAAGGAACTCTAGGCGAATGGAAAGTACCAAAAAAAAAATAACAGGAAGAAGCCGGGAGAAAAGTTTCAGGTTTTGAACTTGATAGACCCTAATCTGGGTGTGTGTGTGAGGGGTTCTGATGCTAATTAGCTCAGCAAATACCTGACAGTGTACCTAACACCCAGATACACTGCTCAGGTCCTGCACGCTGTACACTGGCCGGGCCTGAGCAAAGAGGGTGCAGAGGAGGGGCTGAGGGTTTAGAGGAGGAGCTGAGGGCTTAGAGGAGGAGCTGAGGGCGCAGAGGAGGAGCTGAGAGCACAGAGGAGGAGCTGAGAGCGCAGAGGAGGAGCTGAGGGCGCAGAGGAGGAGCTGAGAGCACAGAGGAGGAGCTGAGGGTGCAGAGGAGGAGCTGAGGGCACAGAGGAGGAGCTGAGAGTGCAGAGGAGGAGCTGAGGGCTTATAGGAGCTGAGAGCACAGAGGAGGAGCTGAGGGCGCAGAGGAGGAGCTGAGGGCGCAGAGGAGGAGCTGAGGGTGCAGAGGAGGAGCTGAGGGTGCAGAGGAGGAGCTGAGGGTGTAGAGGAGGAGCTGAGGGTGAGGAGGAGCTGAGGGTGCAGAGGAGCTGCTGAGGGTGAGGAGGAGCTGAGGGTGCAGAGGAGGAGCTGAGGGTGTAGAATTGGCATTGAAGCCACAGCTCACGGGAGACTGAAACACTAATATCAGCTTTCTCCGTAGGGAGATTCATAACATAATACTCAAAATTCCCTAAAAAGAAACAGGAGCCAGTTGGCATATGAAAAATGTGAAAATGTCAACCATCAGCAGACATCAGTGATGGACTTGAAGAGGTAGCCGTCTGAGTTAACTGATTAAGGGTGTGTGTGTGTGGGGGGGGGTGTGAGCACAGAACCGAGCGCAGAGCACTTCTGCCACTAGGTGGCGGCACCCACGCGCCCTGGCCAGGGCCGCCCTTGTCTGGTGGCCACAGGGGTTGCGGGAAGGCCAGAGACATAAATCCCTAATCTGTGGGGCAGTCGAAGCAGGGGGTCCACACCTGCCAGGAGGGAGTCACACTCCCTCGCCCTCCTCATGCCCTGCCTCTGGGCAGGGGTCCTGTGTGGCAGAGGGGGGTCCCATGTAGCCCTGGGGCAGCCCTGTCTGGCCTAGGAGTCAAGAACAGAAACTTGGGTGTAGGAGGCTGTGTGACTGAGCCTCCTGGAGGAGGTGGAGGTGTGACATGGGGTGTCTGAAGTGAGACAGGCCTGGCAGCCCCATTACCAGCTGCCATTATCCTCAGATGGCCCTGTCCTGTCTGAGCACACCTACAAAGGGCGCTGGGAGTGGGGACAGCCCTGGGGCTTGGCTGGGACCTGAAGGTCTGCAGAGTGGCCCAGGTGAGAAGGCAGGCATTCGTGGGTGGTCTGAGATGTGGGGCTTCTCGGGGGCCCTTATGGGGTCTCAGGACCATAGGAACCCATATGCCCAGGACCGTTACTGTGCTGTGTATTGGCCTGCAATGACATGTGATCAACAGTCCCTGGATGAGAACGGTGGTGGCATGAGGTATAGAGTCCAGACTTCTGCTGGAGGGATGCAGGAGGATGGGTCTGTTGGTTTCTATCCTGAGATTTGTCATGGACCTGTCTCTGGCTCTTGGAGGCCTCCGGGCCCTGCTGGGGGTCATGGAAAGCTGGGACTTTGGGGAGGATTGTATGACTGAGAACCCAGGACCCAGGGGCTGAGCTTGAGTCTAAGATCTGAGGCTCTGCCTGGAATTCCAGGAGGACACCCCAAATGTGGAGGGCAGTACTGCTCCCAGGCCAGGTGGCAAGGTGGGTCCAGAGCAGAAGCAAGCCAAAGATAGAAGAAAACCCCAGAAACGTGCTGAGCCTCCCGGAAGCGGGGGAGGAGGGGACCCAAGTTCCGTGTTGCTGGGGGTTGGGGACTCCCCCTGCTGCCAGCCGAGCCGGTGTCCAGCCCCTGTCCAGCCTCCCCCACGAGGGCCAGAGCCCCCTGCAGCTCCCATCCGCACTGGCTGGGCTGGGACCTCCAGGCTCCCGCCTGGTTACCGGGGCTCCCCCTGCGCTGCCAGCAAAGCAGCAAATAGGGGCCAGTGCCCCCCCCCCCCGCACAGGGGCCGTGGCCAGAGCGCCTGCTTTGGTCTCGCACAGCGGGGTGCGGGCCCCCGGGAGCGGGTGCGGGCCTGGTGCGCACCGTTTCTTGTATCTGCAGCTACACACCACGCACAGGGCCACGGAGAGAACAAGGTTTATTTGGCTCAGGGTTCTGGAGGCCGGAGGCCGAGAGCGGCCGGCAGCGCCAGGGCTGCGCGGGCCCCTCGTGGGCCCCTCGCGGGCGGCGAGCCCACGGCCCAGTGCGCTGGCGGTCACACCCAGGCCGCAGCGGGGGCACTCGCTGGCCCGAGGACGCACCCGATGGCGAGCGTCCTGCCCGCGCTGCGCCACTAGGGGCCACGCTCCCCACACGTGAGCACGGGCGGCCCCCGGGGCCCGAGGCCGGCCGCCCGTCCTGCCCTGGGCGGTGGCTAGCCCGTAGGCGGCCCAGCCTTGGCGGCCTCCAGTCCCACCGTGCCCATGAACCACAGCGGGCCGGAAGCCCGAGGCGGCCCTCGGTCCCCCCGGGAGGCAAGGACGCTGACCAGCACAGCCACCCCGGCTGGCGTGGTGGTGACCGGGGAGGCCCCGCGGGGAGCCAGGGGAGGGGCGTGGCTGCGCGGGGAGGGGGCGGAGCTGGAAGGGCGGGGCGGGCTGTGGACCTGACAGGGGCGGGGCCGGGGAGGGTGTGGCCGGCCCTGCGGGTGGGCGGAGCCGGAAGGGGCGGGGCCTGCGGAGGGCGGGGCCGGGGCTCCTGAAGAAACACTGTAGGGACAAGTGCAATCTCTCTAAAATAGCTCTGTATACAAGGTCCCTCATCTATGCGTAGGTTTCCCAGAGCCTCGCTCTGGGGCCGCGGGGGCCTGGCTCGCCTCGGTCCGGTCCCGGTCCGGCCCCGGTCCAGGTCCTGGTCACGGGCTCCACGGGCTGCCCGGCTGCCCGTTGCCGAGTGGCACGAAGGAGGCGCCCTGCAGCACCGAGGCGCAGAAGGAGCGGCAGCGCTTGCAGGGCCCGGCCGGCGGCAGCGAGCTTCGGCACACCAGGCAGGGCGCTCGCAGGTCCCGCGGCAGCACTGCGGGGAGAGGGGCGCTGAGGGCCGGCACGGACACCCCCTGGCCCGCGAGAACCCGCCCCATCCGGCACAGGCCCCGCCCACCTCCCCCAGCCCCGCCCTGCAAGAACCTCGCCCACTGCCGACCAGCGTGGACCCCGCCCACAGCCCTGCCCTAGAGGGGACTGTCCACTGTGCACATGAGGGGGGGCGTGGCGCTGCGGGCACGGCCACCCCAGATGCCCATTGGCGCTCAAGAAGGTGTGCAAATAGTCCTCACCACTACTAAAGAAAGCAAGCAGTTCATAATAAAACATGTGCAAGTGCTGGCAAAAATAGCAGACCGACAGGACCAAAGTCTTCAGACAACTGGACATGGACTACAGACTGTGTAATTTCGAATACATAAAAAGGTATTGGCAACAAAAAGAAAGCACGAAAACCGACCACATTTCTTTTTCTAAAAGACATCATAAAGAAGTAAAAAGACAGCCCAGCACCGGTGGCTCACACGCCTGTCATCCTAGCTACTCAGGAGGCTGAGATCTGAGGGCAGGAAAGTGCATGAGACTCATTTCCAATAAACTACTCAGAATAAGCCAGAAGTGGAGCTTTGGCTCAAGCAGCAGAGCACTAGCTTTGAACCAAAGAAGCTCAGGGACAGCACCCAGAACCGGAAGAAAAAAAAAAGTAAAAAGACCAGTCAAGGGATAGGAGATGTGTTTGTAATACAATGCAACAAAAAGGAAGAGTCCAGAATAGATACTGCTGAAATGAAGAAGAATGAGACCCTGTGAGACTCATCTATGGACAGCCGAAGAATCAGGCAGGCGCTCCCCACAAAGTGGCTGACACGTGTCTGAATATCACTGGTTTCCATTAGCTTGTGAAGGGAGAGGGACGCGGTGGAGCAGGGCGTCTGTCCGCCCTCAGTGAAGCCATTGTGGGAGCATCAGCCACCTGCTTGGTGCAAATCAGCACAGCCCGTGGGCTGTACTTGCAACTGGTAAAGTGGACAGTGTCCCCCCAAATTCACACCTACTAGAACTTTCCTTATTTGAAAATAGCTTTTCCCCTCTTTTTTTGCTGATGTAACCAATCAACGAGGACATGATTGAGGAGGGTGGGCCTCTTAAGAGGGAGCTCTGAACACAGGACATAGAGGGAAATGTCCATGTGACAGATGGACCCTGGCGTGATGTGATGCCACCACCAGCCACCAGGGAGCAGCGGTGGTCACTGGGGGATTCTCCTCTGAACCCCAAGATGAGCACAGGCCTCTGACATTCGGTTTCAGCCCGTTAGGACAATGAGAAATAAACCTCTTGTTTCAGGAGAGTTGCAATGGTATAACTCCTTTGAAGTTTAACAAAATGAATACCAGGAAGCTGAAACATGTTGGTGTTGTAAAGGAGAGAGTTAGGGAGGGTTGGTCAGCAGAAGGTGGGCAAACACAGTGGTAATAGTCACTGTAGAGATGTGGAAATGGCACCATGGCCCCTGAGGGAGGGGGGCTTGGAGATGAGGGAGGACAATGGACCGGGCAACGCTGGCTAAAGGTACTTCAGACATGGCCATGGCGGAGCCACATGGTCTGCTGATTTTCCCCAGGAAGAGGTCAGCGGGAAGCTCTCGGAGCCCAACACCTGCTGTGCACCAGGCCTTGGGGATACAGTGACCAAAATAGGAGCTCCTACCACCCAAGGGAAAACAAGTCTGACGGAAAGGCGGCTGTGCAGGACCAGACTGGTCGGAGTGGAGAGGCAGAGATAGGCAGACAGAGTGCACAGGGAGGGGGACTGCATGGAGGCAGAGCCGGCCCCAGGGGCGGCCCCAGGCTACCAGCAGGGCCCAGTCGCCCCCTCCAGTGCCACAAATGCATTAGTGTCATCAGAACCCGCAGGGAACAATGCGAGTGCGGGGCTTCCCTGCCACCTCACTCTTGGCGCTGCTGGGACTGGGCTCAGAGTCCCCTACATACACCGGGGCGAGCCCTGTGGAGAGGCCCACCAGGCCCCGCAGGACCCCACGGTGCACCGGACTGCAGGGGGCCCCAAGCCCTGGCCTCCTCCTCCCAGGTGGAGACAGCCAGCAGCTCCCACCCGAACACGACCCCAGGGCCCCGCCACAGACGGCCGCGCCCTCACCTGGTGCTTTGGTAGGCTGAGACAGGGCGTTCTCCACCGTCCTCATCGTCTGCAGCACAGGCACCAGAGCATGCACACTCAGTAAGTTTGGGTCCAAGGGTTTGGTGGGCTGGGCTTTGGCCAGGCTACTCTTGGAGGCCTTGCTCTCTGCTCGTGGGGGGTTACAGGCAGGGAACGCGTGAATGGACCTCGAGTGACAGCTCCTCTCAGCTGACTTCGGCACCAGCGTGGTCCAGCTGGGGGAAACCCTGGAAGTCTCCCGTTTCCAGTCCTCCTGCGTGGCTGTGCAGGCCAATGCCCCCACTGAGTCTGGCCTGGGCCACAAGCCCTGCACCTTCAGAGTCTGTGCTTCTGAGAGCAAGTCTAAGTTGAAGGTGGTGAGGTGGGGCATTGACTTCTTGGCTTTGCTCACACTGATTCCTTCCACGTAGAGGTCGGACCCACTGAAGGGGGGTAGCTCCACCACAGGCTGGAAAAGGAGGCGCAGGTCAGGGTCCCCTGACTCGGGGATGGGCAACTGTGGCCTGGCACAAACCTTCAGGAAGCTCACAGGCCCTCATGGGTCCCATGCTCAGGGACCGCTGTGCCCTCTCCAGAGCTCTGCCGTCCAGACCTGGGGTCTGAGATCGGCCTCGGCCAGGCTTCCTGACTGCTCGGCCGGCTGCAGGGTGCTTCTTTCAGATAGCATAGCCGTCCTGGACACAGGGCCTGACCTGCAGAGCAGGGCTCATCTTTTGGCTCAGCCCTGTGGATGTCCTCCAAAGAGGCCACTAAAGGAGACCCAGGTAGGGGGAGAACACTCCCCCAGGCCTGGTGGGGGGGGTTAGTGGGCCTCCAGTCCACTCAGGGCAGGGTCCCACCTGCTGGGCACAGTCAGCGGCCGGGGGCCCCAGTCAGGGGTAAGAGGAAGGAGGAAGGCTGGACCACGAAGACCCTGGGATGGGTGCTCATGGCTGGTGGCAGTGTTCCCAGGCCCCCACTGAATAGAGTGAGCCCTTCATTCACACAGACAAGGTGGGCCAGGCCTGTGCCAAACCTGAGTGCAGCCAGGACACATCCACCAGACCTAGGGGGCAGAATGCGTGTCTCCCGGAGGCCAGGAAGCGGAGGTGGTCATAGGGAGGGCCTCCTGGCCCCGCGAGGACAGGCCACTGGGGGACTGGCACTCACTTGTCTCCACAGAAGCTCAAAGTTGCCGATGTCACAGTTTCTGTCCAACTTTCGGTCCACAACAACCTTGATGGTGTCCTCCTGCACCTGGGCGCAGAGCTGGGCCGTGACAGGCGTGGATGGGTGCATGGTGGGGCTGGAGTTGATCTCGATCAGCCAGGGCTTGAAGTCTCGCCCGAGAATGAAATCAGCACCGTAGAGCTCGAAGCTGTTCTTCCGGGGCTCCACGTGGTCCTGGGCTACCCGCATGGCGTTGGTGATGGCTTTCTTCATGGATGGGTAGATAATGCTGCCCCACGCGGCCCCGCGGCCCCTCTTCTGCAGGTACTCCTGGAAGCGGGAGCTGGTCCACATGTTGTGCCCGGGCAGTAGCGGGCTGCGTTCCTTGTCATTCTTCAGCCGCCGCTGGATGGAGTTGTTGCACAAATGGATGGCACTGCGGGAAGCAGGCCTGTGAGGCCTGCAGGCACTAGCCACCATCCCACTGTGGGCAGCCTGCTGCCCTGCCCAGCCTGTCCCAGGGAACCAATGCCTGGCCTGGCGCGGGACAGCTTCAAAAGGCCTGGCGGGACTGAGTGGCGCTGGCTCTGTGATTGGCAGCTACTCTGACAGCACTAGGAGCACCCAGCAGACGCCCACCGCCCGGGGCCTCCCACTGGTAGGGCTCCCTTAGAACAACCTTCCTGAGCCTGCTTTCTCACTGCACATGCCAATAAAGGCACCAGCCCCCTTATTTTTCACCTATACTGGACCTCAAACTCAGGGCTTCACACTCTTGCTTAGCTTGTTTTGCTCACTTCTAGAGTGTTAGCAGTTGAGCTATGCCTCCATGCCAGTTTTTTTTTTTTTTTGCTGGTTAATTTTTTGCTGGTTAATAAGAGTCTCAGGCTGGGCACCGGTGGCTCACGCCTATAATCCTAGCTACTCAGGAGGCTGAGATCTGAGGATTCCAGTTTGAAGCCAGCCCGGGTAAAAACGTCCCCATAAGACTCATATCCAATTAACCACTCAAAAACTATCCATGGCAGGGTCCACAGTCAGGGAAGCCGAGGGCTGGCAACAGGAGGGAGGCAGGCCAGACCACGAAGGCCCTGCGATGGGCGATCACAGCTGGTGGCCCCCACTGAATAGAGTGAGCCCTTCATTCATGAGACAAGACCTGTGCCACATCCAAGGGCAGCCAGGACACATCCACCAGACTGAGGGGACAGAATGTGTGTCTCCCAGTGGCCAGGTGCTGTGGCTTAGTGTGGTAGAGCACTAGCCTTCAGCAAAAGAGCTCAGGGACGGTGCCCAGGCCCTGAGTTCAAACCCTACAACTGACATATGTCCATCCATCCATATATACATACATACATAAAAAATAAAGATACCATCTCAACATGGAGTTTCCTGGCTGGGCTAGCTTTGAAGTACACCCTCCAGGTCTCAGCACTTAGGGTAGCTAGGATGACACTCATGAGTCACTGGTACCAACTGTGCAATAGACCCAGAGGCAACGTGCACAGGGCTCCAGCCCTCGCTCCTTCACCTGTGTGGCCTAGCGGGTGTCACTCCAGACATGGCTGCTTCCCAGCAGAATCTGCTGGACAAAGTCTTACTGCCTGTCCTGCAAAGGTCCCAGGGCTACCCCTGGTCCCAGCCCAATTCTTGGGTGACCCCTACAAAACCATCAGAGGGGTGCTCTGGGGAGAGGCTGGCAGGAATCTTAGCTCATGGCCGAGGATGCAGCGCAGGGTCTCCCTGTGTGTCTGCAGGGGGACCTGTGAGGTTTGTCCATCCTAGACACCTTGTCCTGAGTGTCTGACCCCAGATGGCCCTGGGGTGCTGGTGCTGTGTTGGTGGTGCTGATCTCAAGTGCATGGAGTGGTGACCAGCTGGTCCCCCATGCATACCCCTGGAGCCCACTGACCTGTCCAGGTTGTCCAGGGAGAAGCGCTGTGTGGAAAAGCGCAGGTAGCTCTCCTTGTAGAACCAAATGGTCAGGGGGTTCCAGTCAGTGACCAGGAACCACTGCCGGATGTCAAACTTGGTGTCGTAGATGAGCAGCGGCGTCTCGATGTACTTCTGCACCACCCACTTGTTGTCCTTGGTGGCTGTGTGCTCCGTAGCCACCAACTCCAGGATGCTCTCCACGCGGTCCATGCACACTATGTCTGCAAGAGGGAGAGGGGGGCTTGGCACGGGTGGCACAGGTCACGCTGCTGAGGCCGACGCAGAGGCCGCAGGCGGCATGCCAGGCGGGCACTCAGTGAGCAGGGCTGTGGCTGGTGCCAGCCTCTGCCGGTTATCCCACCTCAGGCCTGCCTCATACCTAGAGGACCCAGAACCAGGAGATCCATGGAACGCAGACCAGGCGTTGCCCCCAGCGCTGAGTGAATAAGGGGACAGGAGCCACCTTGGCAGGGGCTTTGGTCCAGTGACAGCTAAAGAGTGACTATGCGGGGCTGGGAAGGTGGCTCAGTGGTAGAGCGCTTGCCTTGCATGCATGAGGCCCTGGGTTCGATTCCTCAGCACCACATAAGCAAAAAGAAAAAAGCCAGAAGTGGCGCTGTGGCTCAAGCAGTAGAGCACTAACCTTGAGCTGAAGAGCTGAGGGTCAGAGCCTAAGCCCAGAGTTCAGGCCTCACAACCAGACCCCCCCCCCAAAAAAAGAGTGACTATGGGAATGGGAGGGCGGGATGGGGGCACCAAGGTTTCCCCTGGGCTGTCCTCTAGTTGAAAGCAGGTTCTCCATTTCTGCTCCTATCCAGAAGGTTAGGCTGCAGGACTTGGGGGGCGCAGGGACACATAGCTGGAGTGTCATGCTCTGCCGAGGGACACAGCACTGAATGCAAGCAAGACTCTCTGAGAATGGGACCACAAGATGGAGGCCCTGATGGTAGATCACCTCTGCCATCCGCACAGACCACTCTGCAGTGGACAGACAGCACACACAAGTGACCGGTAAACTGTATCTGTTAGAGTCGCTGAGATCTGGGGCGCCATCTGGACAATGCTGACTGGTACGGGCTGGAGGCAGGCTCCACCTGCAGGGCCTGCTGAGTTCACTTCTTTGGTTATATGAGGTTGTGATCTCGCCTGAGAGGAATGCTTGGAATACTGCAACGAAGTGCTGCAGGTCACCCTGGTCCTGCCCATGGCCTCCAGGGAGAGGAAAGGGTGCAGGCAGTCCCAGCAGAGAGGTGTACTGGGTCTGAGAGGCAGGTCTGAGACGTCTGTGGGGCTTCGTTGGGGCACAGGCATCTGCAGGGAGGGAAGGGACTGCGGGTGGTTGGGAGGAGACAGAGGCTCTTGTGGTCAGACACAGACACAGGGCGGGGGCCGAGGAGGAGCCCAGCCCTAGGCAGGCAGGGTGAGAGCAGAAGAAAAGTCCTGAGGGTCTGCAGGGTGCCAGGGGAGGGTAGGTCAAACACATGTCCAGGAAAGAGTGTAATAAAATAATATTAATAAAGACGACTCAAGGGCTGGGAAGGTGGCTCAGTGGTAGAGTGCTTGCCTAGCATGCACAAAGCCCTAGGTTCAATTCCTTAGTACCACATACACAGAGAAAGCCAGAAGTGGTGCTGTGGCTCAAGTGGTAGAGTGCTAGTCTTTTTTCTTTTTTTCTTTTTGTCAGTCATGGGGCTTCAACTCGGGGCCTGGAGCTGTCCCTGCACTTTTCGGATCAAGGCAAGTGCTTGAGCCACAGTGCCACTTCTGGTTTCCTGGTGGTTAATTGGAGATAAGAGTCTCACATTGCTGGGCGCTGGTAGCTCACGCCTAGAATCCTAGCTACTCAGGAGGCTGAGATCTGAGGATAGCGGTTCAAAGCCAGCCCGGGCAGGAAAGACCATGAGACTCTTATCTCCAATAAACCACTAGAAAACCAGAAGTGGCACTATAGCTCAAGTGGTAGAGCGCTCACCTTGAGCTGAAGTGCTGAAGGGTAGCGCTCAGGTCCAGAATTCAAGCCCCACAACCGACAAAAAAAAAAAAAAAAAAAATAAGTGTCTCACGGACTTTCCTTCCCGGGTTGGCTTGAATCTTGATCCTCAGATCTCAGCTTCCTGAGTAGTTAGGATTACAGGCATGAGCCACCGATGTCAGCTAGAGTGCTAGTCTTGAGCAAAAGGATGTTCAGGGACAGTGCCCAGGCCCTGAGTTGAAGACCCAGGACTGGCAAAATAAATAAATAAATACTACTTGAAAATTACTTGTGAAATTTGAAAACTCTTTGGAATACAGTAACTTAAGAGGCAAGCAGAATATCCAAACTAAAATTCTATCTAAATATTAAGGAAAACAACATCTTGTAAAAAGAGGTTACAGCTTAAGTCAGAGGAAGTTTCATAGATCTTAAGTATTTATTCCTGGAATAAATGAGCTTAGCATTTAAGTCATGGATAAAGGAGGAGATTTTCCCCATGAGGTTTGGAAGTGGATGTAGCTCAACTAATCTGACTGGCCAGCACAAGGTCCTGAGTTCAAACCTCAGTACTTCCAAAAGAAAAAAAAATCCCTCACAGAAAAATTGAAAAACAAATGCAACTAGAAGTTATTTCTTTGGAGATACGAATCAGATTAGGAAACACATATACCCTATCAGGAAAAATCACAGTCATGGCTGCAATTTGAGGTGAAAAGGCAGAAAATCCAAATAGACCGGTAATAATACCACAGACAAGAATTCATAGGTGTTTAGCATCTGCTGTCATGATAGAACCTGGTTTTCTTTCCTTTTTCCTTCCTTCCTTCTCCTCCTCCTCCTCTTCTCCCTCCTCCCCCCTTCTCTCTTTTGTGTTGGTACCAGGCTTGAAGTCAGGGCCTTGCACTCTCATTTGGCCTTTTGCTCAAGGATAGAGCTCTATCATTGGAGCCACGTCTCCATTTTTTTCTGGTTAATTGGAGGTAAGAGTCTCATGGACTTTTCTGTTTGAGGCTGACTTTGAACTGTGATCCACAGTTCTCAGCTCTTGCGTGGCCAGGATTACAGGTGTAGGCCACCAGTGCCCATTTAGAGCCCTTTCTGCACAAGAGAGTTCTACAGAGGACCTGAGGAATAGGAGCTGACATCAAAGCCCTCCATCCATCCAGAGGCCAGAACACGCCTGTCAATGGTCCAACCGTGATGTTACAAAGGAAAGCTATGGTGTGAGTTAACTCAGCAACACCTCTGCTGCCCAGAGATGCTAACAGAAAAGACAAAGCCCAGGTGAGCACTATGCAGGTGCATGCTGGGAAGACCACGCCTCTAGCATGGCCGGACAGGGCGGGGTGGGGCCAGGCCCCAGGCAGCCTTGGTGTTCAGCTCCGCTTCCTTCCCCAGGAGGTTTGGAAGTGGACGTAGTGGAGATCACACCTCCCTCAGCACTGAGAAGGTGCTGGGGACTCACCTCGGCCCCGGGACTTGGCTGCTGGCTTGATGATCCAGATGTTCCGAAACCCGTCGATCTCTGTCTGGGGGTTCACAGAGGTGATTCTACTCAGCAGAGTCTGGCACTGTGAGAAGTAGCTTCTCGAGTCAGAGATGAAGGCATTACCACTGAAAGCAAGACGAGAAAGCCCTGGCTGGAGGGTGTCACCCCTCCCCCGGGCCAGGCGGGGTGGACAGCGCAGGTGCCCTGGACTCCGCAGCCACGTGGGCACCCTCACACCAGGGGCGCTCAGCCACCAGGGGCGCTGACTGCCCCCCCCCACTGTGGGGGGAGGGGGCGGGGGGGAGACCCGCCCCGCCCTGCCGCTCCCGCCCCCCAGCCCTCCCCCCCCAGCCCTCCCTTCCCCTCAGCCCCTCCCCCCCTCCCCCTGGCCCGTGCCGTACTGGACCAGGGAGTAGTACTGCTGGATCAGGTCGTTCCACTCGGCCTCGGAGAGGTTCTCGGAGCCCTCCTCCGCATCGTCAATGTCCTCGTGCTCCAGCTGCCCCAGGTAGGCCTGGCACACCCGGCACGCCGCGTCCACCAGCTGGCCCGGGAGGCCCAGGAACCTGTTGTCAGTGTTCTCAGGATCTGAAACCCAGCACAGGTTCTGGAGTGTGCCCTGGTCACGGGGAGAGCCGTTCCCTGCCCAGGTGACCCTCTGCCGGCTGTGCAGGGCGGTGACCAGCACTCCGCAGCTCCGCCTCTCACGGGAGGAGACTGCGGACTCTAACACCAGGCTTCCAGACTGCTGCGACTATGCCTGCTCGCTCTCATCTGTTGTCCTAGGGCTGGCTTGACACCCCACACCTACACGTACTGGCAGTCTCCATCCAGTTCCTGTTTGTGTTTCAGACATCTGAACCACAAACCACCTTGCTTGTGCTTTTGGCTTGATGAACCTTATACTACAGACACCTGTAGACCACAATGGACTTAAGCTAGAAATAAATAAGAGAACTGGGAAATGGCCAGCCTCATATTTCCTTCAAATTTACCAGTCCTGCCTGGTCTCCAGAACTGCACCTCAGGGAAGGCTCTGCATCCCTTTCTTCCTGCTCACCCTTGAGCGTGTGGAACACCACTCGGAACGCCACACGCCTCCCAGTGGAGCCCGCAGGGTGAGCTGCCCTCTGCTCTCTGGATCTTGAGTAATAAACCTAATTTGTTTACTATTCCAGTCCATGTGACTCCTCCTCCGACACATTGGTGACAGCAAGCCCAAGGAACAAATCTAACTTCAACTAACAAATCACACCAATGGGCTACGGGAGAAATTACTTGTCAATCTAACCCTCATCGTGATAAGAACGCTCCACATACCAGGAACGGAAGAGGATTTCCTCCACGTGATAAAGATTTTCTGCATCATCCACGGAAGTGTGAGGGGCCAGCAGCCCTTCTGCAAATCTGTCTTTTACCAGACAAAGGTTAGGGTTTCATCTCACAATGCCTTTCAACACTATACTGGAAAGTTTAGCTAATGCAGAAAGTTAAGGGAAGGTACACAATTTGGGAAGGAAAAAAAACTATTGACAGATGACAACTATCTATGCAGAAAACCCAAAAGAACTAAGCAAACTTCTAGAAATAATAGCCCACCACCTTCTTACATGGCAGTAAGTGAGCAATTTAAGTAAAAAAAGAATTCCACTTACATTAACACTGCCCAAAATGAAATAATTAGATAGATAGATACTTATATATGATCTATATGAGGAAAATCACAATACTGGTAAAGAGTACTGAAGGCCTAAACAAATGGAGACATGAGACATGTTCTGTGTACATGGATGAACAAGAAGGCCTGACTGTTACCAAATTTCATCTCCAGGACAGGGAGGATTCCATGTTTTCATATTTTGTGTAAACAGACAGGAAGGACTCCGTGTTATCAAGGTGTCAACTCTGCCCTATCTTGCCTAGACACAGTCCCATCCAAAACTACAGAAAGTTAACTTGTGCCATCAACGAACAGATTCTAAAGTTACATGGAAAAGCCAAAGTGAAGAACAGTCAACTCAGTATCCAAGAGCAAAGCTGGAGAGCATCAGGACTTGTAAATAAGTCTGGCAGCCCTGATTAAGATGCAAGGAACAGAGCGGAGACCAGAAAGGAGCCTCAGAAGCCCACTGAGGGCACCTCTGCCAAACAAACAAAATGGGCAAAGGAGCAAAGCAAGTCTTTTCCACCTATGATACCTGCACACTGGCTGTGATATGCAAAAACCACACTCTAAAACAATTAACTTCAAATGGATCACATATTCAAATGGAATTGGAAGATTACAAAACAGGTAGAAAAAAAAAAGGAAAAAAAACCACCAGGAGATAAGAGTTTCAGGGCTTTTCTTGCCCGGGCTCGCTTTGAACCGTGATCTTCAGATCTCAGACATTTTTTTGTTGATTTTTTTGGGGAGCTGGTCCTGGGGCTTGAACTCAGCCTGGGTACTGTCCCTGAGCTTTTATGCTCAAGACTAGCACTTTACCACTTGAGCTACAATTCCACTTCTGCATTTTTTTTGGTGCTTAATTGGAGAGTCTCATGGACTTTCCTAAGAGACTCCTATCTCAGCTTCCTGAGCAGCTAAGATTACAGGAGTTTGCCACCAGTGCCTGGCTTTCATTGACTTTTGTAGATACACCACCAAAGGCTTGTTCCATGAAATCAATTATTAATAAATTAGACTAAGTTAAAATTATCTTCTGTGTTTAAGTCATTGTTAAAAGAGACTGGAGAGAAAAACCACAGTCTGGTAGAAGATATTCACATCAAATAAAGGAATGCTATCCAGAGTATTCTATATACAGTAAGAAAAACCCTGCTGCGTTGTGTGGGGTCCTCAGCTCTGCCTCAGCCCTACAAACAGGGCTGTATATAGAGGGGCCTAGGCTCACAGCCCAAACAGGGCGTGGGCTTGTGATAACCAAACCCAGGGTGCTCTGGGGAGTGGCTGAGCCGGGCAGCTGGGCCCCACAGGCCTACCCTGCCACCTTTCTTGATGCTGGGGTCGCTGGTCTTGGACTCCTCCTTCCTGCTCCTGGCCCTGGCCCTGCTGAGGTTCTGGTGGCTGACGACCCACTTGAGAATGCTGGAAGCCACTGTGCGCCGGAAGTCGTCTGGAAGGACAGTGAGGCCTCGGCCCACTCTGTACCTCTGGAGCTGGGGACTGGGGTCGAAGCAGGGCCACACGGGCTCCCAGACGGGAGGCCCAGCCTGCTGGGGCGCTGCACAGAGGCAGGCCCCTTCCCTGGGGCTCCTCCCTCCCAGCCCAGGCCCCGCCCTGGCCCGCTGTCCTCAGGGCATTCCATGGACTATCTCAGTGAGGCCTGGACTCTTCCCAGTGACATCTCCCACCTCCATCTCAGGGGCACTGGACACCCTGTACGCTCTGGTGGCCAAGTCCTCCAGTGCCCCAGGGGCCAGCCTGCAGAATAAGCTGCATACCCTGCAGAGCCAGGCTCTGGGGCAGCCTCACTGCAGCAGCGAGAGACAGCCGTGCTGCAGCTCCTCCAGCCCAAACAGGGCTCCAGCTCCACAGTCTCCATCAGCCTCAGGGGTCACTTGTTGCCCACCATTCCAATAATGTCCAAGGAAGTTTCTGGACTATCCTTGCTAGGTGGACCAGAAGTCCTTGCCAGACAGGAGGAGGCTTCAAGCCTCAGTCACTCACCCAAGAATTCCTGCTTCTCGCTCTCAGTGCAGAGGCCATAGCAGCGTGGGAAGAAGGAGTCGGGGTTCGCTTGGACGTACCACGGCAGGCTCCGCATGTTGACACACAGCCCAATCTCCAGAGGGAGCAGCGCATCAGGGCCACCGTGGGCAGTCCCACACCACCCTGCCCGTGGACTAGCCACGGCCAGCCCCCTGGGGCCTCTTTGGCTTGGCTGGTGTGCTCTGAGACAGGGGCTTCCCTGGTCCCAGGACCACCCAGGGACACAGAGAATGGTACAGGCCCTAGGATTCTAGGCCTCTGGGAAAGGGCAGAGTGACCAGCCAGCAGGAGGTGTGTGGGGTCCTGGGGAGACTGAGGCTGGCCATCCCACATGGCTCTCCAAGCAGTAAACCAACATTCAGAAGCCACATTTCCATAGGCCCAGGCTCTGCTCTGCCCTTGCAGCTGTTAGCTAAGCCCCAGGCCCACCTTCGTGGTGAACGATGCTGTCTTCCCAAAGTGGTTCAGCATCTGGTCACCGTTCAGGCTGTGGTAGTCAATGACGTCCCTTTTGATAGTCCAGAGAAGATAAGGCATCTCGTTCTTTACCAACCTAGACTGGCAAGAAGAAACCTCTATCAGCATCCCATATCCAGGGCCCACTAATACCGGGTGGTTGAGACCCAGCCGCGTTTAACCAGACGGTGGACTGCAGTGTGGCGGCTTCCCTCAGGTGTCCCTCAGGCCCACACCATGTGCTCCTGAGGCCACCTGCCAGGGGGGCTGGAGGGCCAGCCACTGGCCAACATGGAGTCTTGGAGTCTCATGAACTTTTTTTTTTTGTTTTTTTTGGGGTCCGGTCATGGGGCCTGAACTCTGGGCCTGGGCACTGTCCCTCAGCTCTTCAGCTCAAGGCTAGCGCTGTACCACTTGAACCACAGTGCCACTTCCGGCTTTTTTCTTTTTGCTTATGTGGTGCTGAGGAATCGAACCCAGGGCCTCAGGCATGCAAGGCAAGCACTCTACCACTGAGCCATCTTTCCAGCCCCACGAACTTTGTTTTTGTCCAGGCTGGCCAGGACCTGAGATCCCCTGACCCTTGCCATTAGTATGTTAGGAGTTCCTGTTATGACAAATGCTTTGTCCACATCACTGTAGCTAAACTTTTTCTCCTGTATTTATTTTTGCCAGTCTTGGGGCTTGAACTCAGGGCCTGGGCACTGTCTCTGAGCTTCTTTTGCTCAAGGCTTGTACTCTACTACTTGAACCACAGCACCACTCCCAGCTTTTTCTGGGTATGTGGTACTGAGGAGCACTCTACCACTGAGCCACATTCCTAGGCTCACTTTTGCTCGTCTTTATGGAGGTGGGTGTGGGATGGAGTCATAGAAGAGCCAGGCTGGGTACCAAGTCAGCCTAGGTATCATATCTGCTGAGTTCCTGGGGACCCTATATGCTCATGGGCCAGGCTGTCTGTCCTTGTCCTGCAAGCACAGCAGCTGTGGACATCTACAGAGCACCTATCGGTCTTCCACATCCACAGATGTGTCCTCTTAGTGTGACTGTGGGTGCCAGGGCTTGACCGGGTTCAGGAAACATGTGCTCTGGCCTACATTCCCACAGACCCAATCCCCAGTCCTGCTGGACCCTGCCCTGGCCACGGAACCTACCATCACCTCGTGGATGTCATCTGTTCTCTCCACCACCATGTCCTGGTTTTCTTTGATCACAGTACCTTTGTTATCTGCAAACAAAACATGAGCAGACTGAAGAAGCTGAACCTGGGGGACTGGACATGGGGATCTAGACACAGAGGAGGGGAGTGGGGGAAGTGGACATGGGGGGAGCTGGATGTGGGGGAGTGGACTGGGGGAGGTCGAAATGGAGGAGTGGACTGAGGGAAGTAGACACGGAGGAGTGGACTGGGGAAGATCGAAGTGGAGGAGTGGACTGGAGAAGCTGGATGTGGGGGAGTGGACTGGAGAAGCTGGATGTGGGGGAGTGGACTGGAGAAGCTGGATGTGGGGGAGGTGGATGTGGAGGAGGGGTTGCCAGGGTGGAGCATGGGCATGCGGTGACCAAGGAGTGACCAGCCCCAGGGTGGCCTTGCCTACTGCATGGATGTCTGAGATGGGCGTGGAGGGTAGGAAGGACATGCAGACTGGCTCCAGCAGGTGGAGATACCACCAGCCCCAGGACGAGGACCGTCCTGCACAGACAAGGCCCCTCGGATACTCTACCCAGGGCCCCGTCATCCTCGGAACTCTGAAGGGCCTTGGGCAGGAAGTGGAACTTCTTCTCCACCCAGCCCTTCCTCCGCAGTGCAGCCCGGATCACAGGGTAATGTCCGTAGATGGAAAAAATCTTCTTTTCCTACAACAGCAGAGCATGTTTCAACCCAGGAGCTGGAGGGTGAAGGGACATGTTTCTGGAGCAGAATGAAGACTGCAACATGGCAGGGCAGCACACCTTCTCAGAGAGGTGGCCAGAGCAGGCAGACGTGTGCGCACACACAACACACACACACACACACACACACACACGTGTGCCTGGAGGGGACAGGAGCTGCTCTGTGCGCATCTGTGGTGGGGCCTGAATCATGTCATTACACCACACACACACACACACACACACTCACACACACATTAGGGTGTCAGACTGCCTATTTGTGTTTAAAAGTTCATTCTGCTTTGTTTATAAGAGATGATTAAAAATAATTAACTTACAGATAGATTAGAAAATAAAAGGATACACATATAAGACAAAATATTCTTTGGGACAAATAAGCATTATGAAAGCAAATAAGTCATTTCCTAATTTAAAACATTCACCAGAAAGATATATTCTATACACTTATTAATCAATTATATGAAGCAAAAACAAGCAGGGGCTGGGAAGGTGGCTCAGTGGTAGAGCGCTTGCCTTGCATGCATGAGGCCTTGGGTTCGATTCCTCAGCACCACATAAACAGAAAAAAGCCAAAAGCAGTGCTGTGGCTCAAGTGGTAGAGCACTAGCCTTGGGCTGAAGAGCTGAGGGACAGCGCCCAGACCCAGAGTTCAGGCCCCACAACTGACAAAAACAAACAAAAAAGCAGACCTGCTGAACAGACTAATCCATAATGTTAAGTATTTAAAAAAGAAGTTTATCTCTTCTTGTAAGTGGCCTGAGTGACCTGTGAAAATGGTTCACTACTCTTTAGACCCAGAAAACCCCACAAAATCATGCAAGTCAAGAGGTTCGAATCTTTGTGTTCACTTTAAGAACACTAGAGAAACAGCCCAGGCCATCAAGGGTATGCATATCTGAAAAGCAACCAAGTATCTGGAAGATGTCACGTTAAAGAAGCATGTGTGCCACTCTGGCATTGTAATGGTGGAGTTGGCAGGTGTGTGCAGGCAGTGGGGCTGGACACGCGTTGGCGGCCTACAGAGTGCTGAATTTCCGCCACACATGCTTAAGAATGTAGAGAGTCATGCAGAACTGAAGGGCTTAGACGCAGACTCCCTGGTCACTAAACACACACAGGTGGACAAAGCACCCACGATGCGCGGCTGAGCTTGCAGAGCTCACGGAAGGATGAACCCATCCATGAGCCCCCCCTGCCACACACAGAAGATTCTTCCTACACAGAAGATCCTTCCTGCAGAGGAGCAGACTGTTCCTAAACCAGAAGAGGCCGGGCAGAGGAAAAAGGTAATCCCAGAAGCAGCTGAAAAAACAAAGACTGATGGCATGGGAATAAGTTTAGCATAAAATAAATGTTGGTTAAAGTAGGGGAAAAAGACGTTTTTCATCAAACGATAGGGAAGAAAGGGGGTTCCTTGCTGGAGACTGGTGGGAGTTCCTCCAGGAATGGTAAGGTCTTTATCATGATGTTTACACAAGTCCTATTGCCATCTCTGGGTGTGTGGGCCTGTGGCACTCTGTGCTTCCAAGGGGTGCACAGTGCGCCCCATTGTGCCTCAGAACCTCAGAGCTGAGGAGGATGCTTTCATTCACTGGCCTGCACTGGTGTGTTTGCTATGGCCGCCCTGTCCTGCCCCACCCTCTGGCACCCAAGATGGACACTGTATGAAGGCCACTCATGCTACATCACCCTCCATCTTGGTCCTCACAATGCAGATGCTTTACAGAATCCCAGCATCTTCCTTCTCTCCCCCAGTCCTCAGGAAGAATATTCTGGAGCAGAGGCCCTGGGAAGGCCCTGCCTAACCAGAGCAGCTCTGCACCATTCACTGCTCCTCTTCTCCCCTGAGGGCAAAGGCTCTGCCTGGCATCCTGCTCCTGGTCTCCCTGAAGGGGCAGGGGCTTGGGGAGCTGGCCCAAGGGGTTCTGGGGCAACCAAGGGACTGTCCTCACCCAGGCCTTCTTTCCCAACAGGATTAACAGAGAGAGGGAGGGGTGCATCTCTCCCCAACATGGCCAGACAGGGGAGCATCTGTGCATAAAGCTGGGGGACACAGGCCTTGGGCTCACGTGGGAGGAGGGAACAGGCCAGCTGACACTCTCCGAATCCCAAACACATTTCCATTTATAAAAGTCATCGCCATCTCATTGAGTCCCAAATGGCATTTACCTTGATGGCTTTTTCCGTTAATTGTCTTGCTATTTTGTATCTGTCCAGTTTGGGGGAAGAAGAAGAGTCTTGGAGAATTCCTCGTTTTAATTCTGCAGAAAAAGAGCGGGGGTCAAGAGAGGAAAGCCTCCAAACCCTAAATGATGCCACTCAGACCCTCGACAGGCAGTCCTTGGGTCTCATCAGTGCCCCACTTCTCCACAATTCTCTGGCCCCTCCACCAGGACCCTCACTGGCACTAAACGTTGCTGGCAGAGCCCCAGCCCTCCACACAGCTCCAGCCCTTCTACCCTGCCTCGGGCCATGACTGCCCCTCTTGGCCAAGCCCAGTTCATTCAGGTCCAGGCCCTCCTGCAGTCACACACCTCTTCCCTCCAGGCGGCCCTGGCTCAGCGTGGCCATGCCTTCTCCTTTCAGACCTACATGTGGAATCCTCGGACCTGCCATCTCTGTCACTGCCCATTTCCTGCGCCTCTCAATCAGCCCAGCTAGAAATGTTCATATGCCCCCACACCATCCTCACCCCAAAGAATCCCTATGTTGTAGGAGAAACCAGCTCAGCTCAGTCCCGCCACCCGTGACTCCTGAGGCTCTGCCACCCGAAGTCTGTGGCCACCAGGCCAAAAGAGGACAGAGCTAGGCCTCTTTGTCTATGTCTTAATGGTTACCTGAGGACAAGCTCAGAAATGATTTTGATGTCAAAACCATACTAACCTAGCAGAACACATAGAAGGGAAGAACCCTAACAAAAATTTGGGCAAAAACTCTTAAAATAGCATACAGAAAGCACTATCCATAGGCGTTAGAATTGGAACCTAGTATGCATAGCTCACACCTGTAATCCTAGATATGGGAGGCTGAGGACTGAAGTTTGAGGCCAGCCCAAGCAGAAAAGCTCACAAGACCCCTTCTTAACTGATAGATGGGCATGGTGGCCTGTGTGTTACCCAAGCATTGTGGAAGGCTGATAATAGAAGAATGGAGGTTCCAGGCTGGCCCCAGACACTAAGTCGGCAAGACTTGGTCTCAGTGAAGGAAGTTGGGCCTGGTAATGTGGACTTGTCACCCCAGCCTAAAACAGACTTCACACCTAAGTGTGCCTAAGCACACACCTGGGCAGGATGTGAGGCCCAATCTAAAACAATCTAAACAATCTAAACCACAAGCTGTACACAGTGAGGCCCACTCTAAAACACAACCAGCACAAGCTGTACACAGTGGCTCAACATGTAGTCCCACCTACTTGGGAGGTGGAGATCAGTGGACTGAGGTTTGAGGGCGGCCTGGGTAAAAAGAAATCTCAAGGCACATGTGAACAAATGGCTGTGCCAGCACTCAGAAGCATAAACACAGGGTATGAATGCACGGCCAGTTTCCTTCCAAAAGAAATAGAGCAAAAAAGGTCTGGGAGTGTGGTTCCCCTGTTAAAAGTACCTGACACAAGTTCAACCCCCAGGACCGGGGCAGGAGAGAGAGAGAAAGAAAACAATAAAGCATACATAACACTGCATTATGATTCTATCCCAAGAACTCGAAAAGAAAAGAGTGAATTTAAACTCAAAGAAACTACATATAAAAAAAAAGCAAAGCGCAGACAGTCACAAAATGACGTGTGTATGTGTGTCGGGGGGCTGTCCTGGGGCTTGAACTCGGGGCCCGGGCGCTGTCCCTGATCTTTGCTCAAGGCTGACATTCCCACTCGATCCACAGCTCCACTTCCAGCTTTTCGGATAAACTGGAGGTAATCTCCAGCTGGCTTTGAACCACAGCCCTCACATCTCAGCCTCCCGAAGAGCTAGAATCACGGGCCTGAGCCACTTTTTCCAGTCGTGGGGCTGAAGTCCCCGAGCTCCCCCTGCTCAAGGGCAGTGCTGCCGGCTGGGCCCAGCTCCCCGGGGCGGCGGGGGCATCGCTGAGTGCAGGCAGAGGGCTGCTGTTGGGAAACCGCCACCACTCGACGGGGTCCTGGACACACGCTATCGGGGACGGGGAGGGGGGG